ATGCATCTCGTATAATGTATGCATCGCCATGGTACTTAAATGTTGTGTGTATGTCTAGATGAGAATGCCTAGGCTAGAGAATTGATATGTATGTGTGTGTGTGTGTGCGCTTAAAGGTATGTGCCTAGGGTTAGAGAATAAATATGATTGTGTGCCTAGATAAAGATGCCTAGACTATTAGTTATCTGAGATAGGAAATTTGTATTTGTGTGATTTGTGGTGAGTCACAAGGTGTCATTGTGTTGGAACTCACGATATGTAAGACCTAGAGCAAGAGGCTTACATATGGTGCTATATGAATTATGGATTAAGGACTGTGCTGAATTATGATGAATGGGCTACCAAGTAGGTATATGAGAGCATATGTATTTGGGTTAGGGGCATAGCGATTGAGTGATATTAAATATGTGAGGTCGAAGGGCCATGATTACTTTGGGACATGACATATGCATAAATGCCTATGTATTCGTGGTTGATTTGAGGATGTGCATAAGGTTGTTGAGCCACGATTGATTGGGTTAGAGTATGATGAATACCTATGCGGAGTTAAAGGCTTGAGGGCTTGTAGATTGATTATATTTCCTTTGATGATGCCTTAAAGATTTAAAGGCATTTGGAATTATATCGAGCTTAGAGATGACTAGAGCAAGTTGAATTTGAAATATGATTTGATGTTGACATATGGAATGTCATAAGCAAGATGGCTTCATTTGTGGATGTGTATTCTGTCCGAGGGACTAATTTCAGATGTTGATCTGACTTGTAGTTAGTGAACTCCCACGCCCTATGACCTTTGCATGCTTGCAAGGTTAGTGGTAATCAAGGAAGGTGATATTAGTCCCCTTTGTGATTCTCACTTATAGTGCTTTAATGCCACCCATCTAAGAGTACTCTAGGTGATGCCAACATTGGGAGATACTCTGGTTGATGATTCTGATTCTTTGCCCATTGCTTCAGTGCTTGCATGATTTGTTCTTCGCCAGCTACTTTAACGCTGTGTGTGATTTGATTCTCTGCCCAACGACTTTGCCCTGTGCATGATTTGTTTCTCTGCTAGTTACCCATTGTGGTGATTTAACCATGTCCAGGGCAAGACCACTCATTCAATTTCATTTGACTATAACAACATGCATTGGGTATGGCATGATTTGCTTTGAATATGAAATTGTGGTGATTGACTGTGAATGATCTTTGTTAAAAAGCTTTGAGATAAGCAAATTATATGTAAATGAGATTTGAAGTTGTGCTAAGCAACTAAGGTGTGCCTATGAAGTCTAGTTTGATGGTAATGGCTTTTAGGGTAAACTTTGAATTGATATGATTAGATGTGAGGACACAAAACTCGTAAATTATGGATATGATACGTCATTGACATGTAATTTGATAAGGTTTAATATGAGGTGTTGTGCATGTAGGATATTAGGATAATCCTCGCACCTTTTGAAATGGAAATGTTTGAATATGAATGTATTATGGCTAGGCCTAGATATATAATTTATACGTGAAATATTATATCATGATAACATCCCCTCATTGAGTATTAGATGACTCACCCCTCTATTGTACCATGTACAAAGAAAAGAAGCTATGGGGTTATGTGATAAGTGTCGTTGATTTTAATCGACACATAATTGGCACCTTGTAGTTCTTCTTCCCATTGTATCACTCCATTGAGTTTGTGTGGCCTTTTGCCTTCCAATTTGGTTAGTTTGTAAAATATGTCAAGCACAATGTATTATTGGAATTGTATAAGGGTTGTTATGTGTGAGCCTGATTTGATGGCCAGTGTATGGCCTTTAAATACTTGCATGGATTGTGAGCTAGAGATAATGTAAGATATCTAAATTTTATTATGACTATTTGCTTATTAAATCCATTGGCATATGTTTTGCATGATTTTGGATTTTGAGGCTTGCTACAATCTTGTGGGCTTACCTATTGGGTTTGTGTGCTGATCACAGACCCTTGGGTTAGGTCTTGACACAAACGCAATCTCAAAAACAGGCGTTGTGCCTAGAAACTATTCTTTATCGATTCATTGTATGATTATATATATGCCTTTTTTAATTTATGAAAAAATTAAATAAGTAGAAGATAAATAAATCCTTAAAAATATATTATTTAAATC